GCCACTCCTCACAATCCCATTGCAGCAGCTCTTTAGGCCTTCAGATCCTGTGTCTGTGCTTTAATAAAAATCACTTTTTTTGCACCAAAAAAAAAAAAAAAAAAGATTGCCACATCATCCCAACCTTTAGCAACCATCATCCTGATCAGTCAGCAGCCATCAACGTAGAGGCAACACTCTCCACCAGCAAAAAGGTTGTGACTTATTGAAAATGCATATGACAGCAGTTCTTAGCAATAAAGTATTTTTAATTAATATATATACATTTTTAAGACATGAGACTTTTGCACATCTAATAGACTACAATCTAGTATAAACATAACTTCTATAGATATACTGAGAAACCAAACAAGTTTGACTCATTTCATTGTGAAATTTACTTTATTGTGGTGGTCTGGAACCAAACCTGCAATGTCTCCAGGTTATGCCTGTACAAGTCTCGCACTCCTTTTGTAAATTCTTTCTTTCTTTTTTTTTTCCATTTGTTTTTATTGGAGTTTGATTTGTCAACATATAGTATCCCACCCAGTGCTCATCCCATCACGTGCCCCCCTCTGTGCGCATCACCCAGTCACCCCAACCCGTGCCCACCTCCCCTTCCGCAACCCTTTGTTCATTTCCCAGAGTTAGGTTTGTCTCCCTCTCTAATTTTTCCCACTCAGTTTCCCTCCTTTCCCTTAAAGTCCCTTTTAATATTTCTTATATTCCCCGTATGAATGAAACCATATGTTTGTCCTTCTCCAATTGACTTACTTCACGCAGCATAATCCCCTCCAGGTTCTTCCACGTTGAAGCAAATGGCCAGTATTCGTCTCTTCTAATGGCTGAGGAATATTCCATTGTATACATAGACCACATCTTCTTATCCATTCATCTTTTGAAGGACATCGTGGCTCCTTCCACAGTTTGGCTATTGTGCACACTGCTGCTGTGAACATTGGGGTGCAGGTGTCTTGGTCTTTCACTGCATTTGTATCTTTGTGCTAAATATGTAAATTGTTTCTAAATATTTTATTCTTTTTAATGTCATTATGAGTAGGGTTATTTTAATATTATTTTTGTAATTGGTTATTGTTGGTATACAGACATAAAGCTGATTTTTGCGTGTAGATCATGTATCCAGTGGCCTGTGAACTTGATGAACCTGTTTGTTCTAGTATTTGAGGGTGGTGTGTGTGTGTGGATTCTTTAGGATTTTCTATGTGGAGGATGTTTCTTCCTAGAGGAGTTTACCAATATTCCAACTCCTTTTACCGCTACTCATTTAGTTGTAATTACCCTTACAACTGTCAGTCTTCATACTAACAGATTGTTAAATACCAGGCCTTCAGTTTCCCCAATACTATTCTTTTTTTTTTTTCCCCAATACTATTCTAAGTCCTCACTATTCTGCTTGGACTGCTCATCTCTCAGCAGCTATGTGTCTTCCTTCATATTTTGCAAAAAAAAAAAAAATTAACATTATAAACCCAGACATCATTTACAGTGAATGGAATGACACGCAAATTTCAGACCTCTTCACTCAGGAGCCCCTTCCAAGGTTCTCAGGGGGCCTCTCGCTTGATTTTGATGTGTATGAATTTTTTTAAATTAATGGAATAAAAACAAGAAAGATGAATTTAAGCATAGAAATTATTCTGGCAAAAAAAATTGTAACTTTTGGGACGCCTGGGTGGCTCAGCGGTTAAGTGTCTGCCTTCTGGCTCAGGGCATGATCCTGGAGTCCTGGGATTGGGTCCAACATTGGGCTCCCTGCATGGAGTCTGCTTCTCCCTCTGCCTGTGTCTGCCTCTCTCTCTCTGTGTCTCTCATGAATAAATAAATAAAATCTTTAAAAAATGTAACTTTTTTGCAGATTATATTACAGGTGAATTCATTAAAAGAAAGATACATTTTCAACAAAAACTCTTGGATTGGGGCACCTAGGTAGCTCAGTGGTTGAGCATCTGCCTTTGGCTCAGGTCATGATCCTGGAGTCTTGGGATCGAGTCCTGCATCAGGCTCCCTGCATGGAGCCTGCTCCTCCCTCTGCTTGTATCTCTGTCTCTCTCTCTGGGTCTCTCATGAATAAATAAATAAAATCTTTAAAACAAAACAAAACAAAAATCTCTTGGATTATTTCATAATCCATTCAATGAAGTGGAGTCAGTTATTCAAATACATTGAAGAAAGATTTAAGTGTCTTGCCAATTTACAAAAAATTTAAGTGTCTTGCCAATTTCACTGACTACAACATAAAAATCATACGACTTCAAGGACATCTAAGATACATTGGCTTATGAGTCTCATCATTTCAAAGACAATTTAAGCCTAGTCATTTTCTAAAAACACTTGAAATGCTCCTAATCCTATAATCATATAAAAAATTGATAAGCTTTTTTCCAAATTACATGGTATATAATATTTACACAGTATTATCAATAATAAGCCATAAACCTGAAAGAATCTTTTGAAACTACCAGTAATAAAAAACTAATGGCCATGCTAGATGAAAGGTTATGTAATTTTTATATTCTCTCCCCATAAAGTATTATATAAAAATGGTTCTCATATGAACAAGTGGTTATAGAACATGTAGACAAGGGGATCCCTGGGTGGCGCAGCGGTTTAGTGCCTGCCTTTGGCCCAGGGTGCGATCCTGGAGACCCGGGATCGAGTCCCACGTCGGGCTCTCGGTGCATGGAGCCTGCTTCTCCCTCTGCCTGTGTCTCTGCCTCTCTCTCTCTCTCTCTCTCTCTCTCTCTCTCATTCTGTGACTATCATAAATAAATAAATTAATTAATTAAAAAAAAAAAAAAGAACATGTAGACAAGAATTGCAAGTGGATGCACCTGAGCGGCTCAAGTTGGTTAAGCCTCTGATTCTTGGTTTCGGCTTATTATTTTCCTGTATTTTGTGATATTAGTGGACATCAACTTAATTTTTATTTATAATGATTTTTCTCATCCTCTATATAATTGCACTTTTTAAACTTAATTTTGAAATTTTTTTTTTTAGAGCAAGAAAGAGTTGGGGTGCAGAGGGAGAGAGAGAGAATCTTAAACAGGCTCCACACCTAGCATGAGGCTGGACGTGGAGCTCGATCTCACAATCCTGAGACCATGACCTGAGCTGAGATCAAGAGTTGGGTGCTTAACCAACTGAGCTACTCAGCCACCTCATATAGACATCATTTTTGAATTCTTTTTTTCTAGAAAGCACTCCTCCCACTCACCACTAATCATATAAGATTTAGGCCCCACAAAACATGAATCTGCTCTTAGCAAATAAGCTTGAACTTTCTGTGTTCTGCCCTTCTCCTACAGAAGCCCCTGAATCTGCATCCAGTCTTTTTTTCTGTTAAATATCCTTCTAAGCCTGGGCTCCCATGTATATGGCTTACTCTCAGCAGCTTCCTTAAACCAAACCATTAGCCCTTGACCTTGACTTAGTTCATAGCTCTTGTCTCCCTGTCTTACGAGTTTCTGGCTCCACATTCAGACTCCCCATTCTTACTTTTGTCCCCCTTGACTAAGTGATCTATTTGGACTCCTTCTCTTCCTTTTTGAAATTAGCGTCTCTTAGCTCCCAGCTCTGCATGCTGATTGAGGCCTCTCCTGTGGCTTCTGGTCACTCAGGTGGACTTTAGTTGACATATAAAATGATATCACCCTTCTTTCTGACAAAGGCTAATCTTTCGGCCTCTGCCTTACATCTGTCCTTTCTAGGACTTTACACAAGAAATTGACTGCACCTCTTGTCTGGGTTTTTAGCCTCTAATTGTACTTGTGGCTGTGTGCATGCTCAGGTGTCTCCTACCTCAACAAACCATTCTACTCTGCATTTTTCTCTTTCTCTTCTTGCCATTTAAGTCAAGGTTCATGATTGCTGGTATCACCTGTTTTGTCACTTCTGCTTTATAGCTCTGTCCTTTCCTACCTAATGTTTCTCTCTGAGATCACCAGAGGCCTCCTTAATATCAGGTACGGTGGACTCTGTTCAGCCTTTATCTGAAGGCTTAAACACTGACCACTACTTTTTTGCTTAAATTCTCTGATTTCCTGATATTGCTTTTTTTTTCTCTTTTATTCCCTAGTCTTTTTTGAGGCATTCTTTTTCTGTTTTAGTCCCATAAATGTTAGTGTTATCCAGTGTTTTTGTCCTCAGCACTATTCACTTCTTCATTCATCCAACTGGGTGATCTTTTATTTTTACTCATTCCTTTGTCAGTATTTGTTGAGCATATACATGTGGTAGGTACTGTGCTAGGTGCTTGGGAAACTGTGATGAATAAGACAGATATAGTCTCTGCATCATAAATCTAGTCTATTCGAGAAGATAAATATTAAACAAATAATTACACTTCCATGGCTTCAGTCATCATGTTTTTGCTAATAACTCCTAGATCTATGCCTGAATCTTTTTTGATTATTAGGTAAATTATAGCCAGGACATCTGAAGTGATAAAAATCACTGAGATTGAAAAAAATATGTGATTACTTTGAATTGTGACATTTCATGAAGCAAAAGCACTGGATCAATCACTTTAAAAGATATTATTATTACCGCAGCTTTTACATAGCCTGGAGAATTTTGGTATGTAGCAAGAATACTGTCTAAGAATCTGAGATTCTCATTTTGGCTCTGATTTTCACTTTGACCTAATTTTCTTTACCAAGCATTTACTGTTGAATGAATTTAAAAGATTAATAGAATTAATGTGTATGAAAAAGTTAGCTGTCTTTATTTATAGCTAAAATAATAACAGAATAGAAATAAGCTGGAGTGACCATATACCTCAGTTTTCCTGGGATATCCTCAGTTTATATCTGTCATCTCAGCAAAATAAAATAGCACCTTTATTTTACTCCTTTTACTTTCAAAATTGTCTCCATTTAGACAATAAATTATATGGTCATTCTCAAAATGTTTTTTTCAAATAAAACCATTTTCTCGATGAAATATTTGTGAATATGCTTCCTTTTTAAAAAAATTCTTAATTTTTTAAAACTATTTTACAGTCAAAAATTGGTGGAGTACAAATATTTCTGGAATAAGACTCTTTCACTACTTACTTTTACCAAAAGGGAGCTAACCAGTATTAAAAATGAAGTATGTGATAATTTTCAAAATTGGACTTCACTGAAAGGAGAAGTTTTTCTACAAATTAAATCCATAAGTGAAACAGCATTGACAGGTTCGTTATGTATATTTAGAATGTAATCATCTTCTTTTCTTTTTTTGGGTGTATGGTGCATCATATGTAATGAAATAATTCTTCATTTTATGTGATGGGACTTGTGATCAACTTTTAAATTTGTTATTGGTTGGTAAACTAGCAGGCTGTTATGGCCTCTCTGAACACTGGAATTCAATAATTATAGGCTGACCTAAGATAAACCGTGATACATCTATCTGGAGCTGTGACCAGAAGTCTTTTTTTTACCGTTCAATGTGCCAATTTGTACTTTAAATTTTTTCTTCTGTTCATGACTTTGTATTTCATGTTGGATCAGTCTTTCCTCAGGTAACTGATAAATTCTGGACAAAATCACTACTTAAAAACACTGCACAGTGATCAAAACTTAATCGTTAATATAACAGAAGAAATGTCAAATATTGAGAGAAGGCATATTACTGAGTGAAAGAAGCCAATCTGAAAAAGCCACATACGATAAGATTCCAACTAAATGACATTCTGAAAAAGGCAAAACTATGGATATAGTAACGAAATCTGTTTTTGCCAAGGTGGAAGGGAAAGATGAATAGGTTGAGTTGGAGGATTTTTAGAGCAATGAAAATACTTCATATGATACTACAATAGTGGGTACATGTCATTTTACATTTGTCAAAACCCACAGAATGTAAAACCCAAGAGTGAATTCTAATAAAAACTAAGAATTTGGGATAATTATGATGTGTGAGTATAGGTTCGTTGATTATAAGAAATGTCCTACTCTGGTGCAGGGTGTTGATGATGGGAGAGGCTGTGCATGTATGGAGAGGTTATGTGGAAATTCTCAGTACTTTCTGCATAATTTTTCTATGAAATTGATATACTTTGTAAAAGGCTATTTTTTTTTAAATTAAAAGAAAAGAATGGAACTGGGTGAGTTCTCTGGGGTTTTATTTTTTATTTTTGTTTGTTTGTTTAAGGCTGTTAGATTGAGGGCAGGGTACAGTGTGTTCCATACAGGGAAGCTAAGACTCTGATAGAAATCTATCAGCTTAAAGACTGGAGGACATGGATTAAGGCATTCCCTGAGAGAGAATATCCCAGAAAAGAGTTGATCAGAGAGAGCGCTCAGATTATTGCATATAAACTCTTTCCAAATCTTTGGCCTATTCTTGAAATACATGTGCACAGGGAAAATTTTAAACAACCCATCAAATGTGAGAAAGTCTTTCAGCAAATTGTGATAGAACAACTGAATAAGCATATGGCAAAATATACCTTGACTGCTACATGAAATTAATTCAAGATAAATCATAGAATTAGAGATAAAAGCTAAAACTATCAAAGAAGAAATAGAGCAAATATCTTCATAAATTGGAAGTAAATGAAAGTTTCTTGGATAGGGCATAGAAGTAAGAAAAAGACTAAAACTTGGTATGTTAGACTTTATCAAAATTAAAAACTTCCGTTCATCAAGACATGCCATTAAGAAAATGAATAGGTAAGCCACAGACAGAAAAAATATTTTAGAAAAACATGTGACAAAGAACTGCTGTCCAGGTTACATGAAGAACACCAACAAGTCAGTAACAAAACGACAAAAAACCCAATCAAAAATGGCAAAAAGATTTGAATGGACACTTTACAAGGAAATATACAAATGACCAATAACGACATGAAAAAGTGCTCAACATTATTGGTCAAAAGGGAAATGCAAATGTCAATAGTACATACTCACCAGATTGGTTAAAATGAAAAAGCTTGAGAATAGCAAATGTTGGTGAGAAAGGAAAGCAAATGGAACTCATACAAATTGGTGAAAGTATAAAATGCTATAGCCACTTTGAAAAAAAGATCTGACAGGTTTTGTTATAAAACTAATATATACCTAACCAATGACCCTTGAAATTCTTCCCTTAGATATTTATGCCCTCCACAAGTAAAAACATATGTCCACACATTTATCCTAAAGTGTTCTTGTGGCAGGCTTGTAGCTTTAAATAAAACTAATAAAAAAAATAAATAAATAATGTTCTTATAGTTTAAATGTATTTATTAATATATAAATAATATATTAAATATATATGTATATATAAAATACAGACCCACATAAATATGTTGAACTGATTTTTGACAAGGGTAAGCAAGCAGTTCAGTGGAGGAAGGATAGCCTAGCCTTTTTTAACTGACTGAAAGTAATACTGGAGACAACTGAGTAATTGGAGTAATTACTAGAGTAATTGGTTATCTGTAGGCCAAAAAAAAAAAAGGCATGATGTACAATAGGAAAACTTAATAGTTAGAACCTCAATAAAATTAAGAACTTTTGCACTAAGACTAGGAGAAAACACTTGTGGACCACACAAAGGACTTTTATCTAGAATACATGAAAAACTCTCAAAACTCTACATTTTAAAGAAACAGTCTAATTAGGAAATGGACAAAATATATCAGCAAAAATTTCACCAAAGAGGATATGCAGATGGCAAAAAGCATGTGAAAAATTGTTCAACATCATTAGTCAATTAGGGAAATGCAAATTATAACCATAATGAAATGAAATCACATCTATTAGAAATGTCTAAAATTGTAGAGATTTCCTGAGAACATAATGACCTAAAATAATTTTAAGTCCATGTGGCTAACAGGACTAAGAACAACAGAATGATCTTATCGAGATAAAGAAATATGTAAGAGTAATACTAATAATTGTACTTAAATTAGTTAACATTGTATGATATTTCTTCTGAAAGCTAAAAACCTGTATTAGCTATAAACTTTGACAGTATTACAAACATTTTAAATGACAAATACTTTAAAAAAAACTCTCAGCCTTTATTTATGATCTACATGGATGTATCTTTATGGTATGAGTTGATTCTGCATGGCATAGTTCTTCAATTGAAAAGTTGATATAAAAAAACATGAAACATTTTTATAAGAAGTGAAATAACCTCCTAATTCATATTCCTAATTCCTTTATCCTAACATAATTATTTTCATTTTCTTATTTTATCTCCTATTCCAACACATGCTCATCTATTTTTTGCATATTTATAATCACAATGTAAATGCTAATAATATTCTAAACTGTAGTGTTATTGGCTGAATTTTATCACTCCCCTAAATTCATACATTGAAGTCCTAATCCCTCAGGACTACAAATACAGTTACATTTGGAATTAGAGTCCTTAAAGAAATAAAGTGGATGGGCTCTAATCTAATGTGATTGATGTTCCTTATAAAAAAGAGGAAATTTGGAAACAGATACATACAGAGGGAAGAGTCTTGAAGACACAGCCAAGTGTCTCCAAGCCAGGCAGAAAGGCCTGGAACAGATCCATCCTTCCTGGCCCTCAGAAGAAACTTACCCAATTGATAGCTTGATCTCAGACTTTTTAGCTTCCAGAACTATGAAAAAAAAATCAATTTCTGTTGCTTCAGCCACTCATACAGCAGCCCTAACAAACTAATAAATATAGTGAACCCCATAAACATTGCACAACATTATTTGAGATACTTTAAAAGATTTGCACATTAAAATTTAGGCTTAAAATCAAAGTCCAAAAAAGAAACAATATTCCTAGAAAAGGCATTGCTTAATATTTTCTTACTGACAAAATATGTTGATCATTGAATAGCAGATATGAGTGAAATATTTCCTACCCCTCTAATGAGTGGATTTCTCTTTGTGTAATCAATATATTTTAGTTCAAATTTTCTTAGATTAGGTTTTCTTAAACCAGAGCACAGGATTTTATTTTTCCAGAAATTTCAGGGAAAAAATATTTTTAGGGTAGAATCACCACACTAAAGGTAGACTATTTTAAGTAGAATCAATTTGCTTCCATTATCAAAGTAACTATTGATTGAATAGCTCTTGAACTTTTAAAATTCAAGTTCTGAATTGGGCATAGAGATGTAGCCCACATTTTTCATAAAATTGAAGAGATTAGGGATAGGATAGGCCTATTTGTTTATCTTATTAAGAATGTTTGCTCCTTAAAAAAAAAATGTTTGCTCCTTTTGCTTGTGTGTTTTACTACCTTATCTAGTCTGACATTAAATAATCTGGGCCTCAAAATGCTTGCCTATGAAGTGAAGGGTAAGGTAAGAAAAAAAAATATTCAGAAACCGGTATATCAGAAACTAGGGGTTTTGCTCAACAATGACTTTACTCATTTAGTAGATATGTATTAAGCTCCTGTCATTTCTAGGACATCATGGTAGAAATTGTGGGTGGCATAAAAAATGAGTAAGATATTATCTTGACCTAAAATAACTTACAGTCTAATAGTAGGTCATATGTATGCATATGATCAGTGCAATAAAAATGGGATAGTTGGTGCGAGTTCCAGGAAGATGTAGGTCACTTCCAGATTGGGTCAGGAAAGATTTCCAGGCTGTGGTAGCGTATGAGCAGCAGCAGGCCCGATGTATGAGGTCAGGAGGCCTTCATAGGGGGTACTGAGACGGGGAAACAGAAGGTGGGTATAACGACCAGAATAGGTTAATCTGGTGGAGATAACTTCTGAACCCCAAATTGGGATACGTGACTGACAGGAAGTTGTAAAATGATGAAAGTAGGATTGACTATTTGACACCAGGATTGCCAAACAACAGGGATGTGTAATTTGCCAAGGGTGACTGACTTCACCTTCGTTGAGTTTACTCTCCTAATACCATGTCAGAAACATTGCTCCTGTTGTTTTGGAAATCTTGCTGTACTTTTCCATGTGTTAAGAATATATTTTACAAATAAATTTGTATTGCAGATTCTTATTATTTTAATGTCAGATAGAAAGTCATGTTGGGGATCCCTGGGTGGCGCAGCGGTTTGGTGCCTGCCTTTGGCCCAGGGCGTGATCCTGGAGACCCGGGATCGAATCCCACATCGGGCTCCCGGTGCATGGAGCCTGCTTCTCCCTCTGCCTGTGTCTCTGCCTCTCTCTCTCTCTCTCTGTGACTATCATAAATAAATAAAAAATATTAAAAAAAAAAAAGAAAGTCATGTTGACACGAGCAGTTATTTTCGAGACAGATAGTAGTGTATACTTACAGAGTCAGCCTGCTAACCTAAGCAGTATTATTCTGGCAAATGAAAAATAGGTGACAGCATGTGCAGACTCCTCTGCAGTGTCATTCTGATTTAAACACAGATATGATTAGGATATGAGACAATTTATTCAGCATAAGGAGCCACCTTGATACAGAAATACCCAAGAAGACTATTTAGGCCTGAGGAAAAACTGCAACCTTCATATTTTTTTAAACTCTCTTCTTTTAAAATTTTATGCACTAGTGTGTTAGCAGTTTTCCTCATACAAACAGGTGCATATCCATAAATATTTAGAAGCACATAGTTATTCTTAGGAAAAAGATTCCCATATAAAGTAATCATTGGAATATAGTAGAACCTCACTTATTTGGTCCCTGCCGATTTATTGCCCCAGGTTTTCCATTTTGAGCAGTAATTAAAAGTGATGAAGGTGCCAGACCCTTTGTGCTCATGCCCTAGATCTGTCTTCAGGGTCATGTTCTCTTCCAGACATACTCGTCACCCACAGAAAGACATTTTGCATTCCTCTGCTTGGACTACATTCCTAATCCAATCCTACTCATCGGCATATTCTCTTCTCTGTGCCCCGTCTGGCCTAGCACCTGACTTCTCCTGTAACCACTTACCAGCCCACATTGCCCCTGCTGCCATGTCTGTCTTAGGGATGTCTGCTTCTGGTTTTCACTTGCCCACGTGGCTGCTGCTTCTGCTGTGGTGGCTCTAAGACCAAGCCAGACTCCTCTGATACCCAGTCACGCGCTACACCCATCACACAGCCCAGGACAAGCTAACCAAGGGAGGGGATGCCAAGCAGAAAAAGCAGACTGTCCATATTTTCATATAGGTCACATCCTCATCAATTCAAATAAACTGTGGTTGTACAAATTTTATAGTACTTTACCATTATTGTCTGGTTTTTAAAATATTTTAATAGTGGCTTAAGACAGTCATGCTGAAGAGATTGATTAAGGGAGAGCTTGATAATTATTCTAAAGGGTGATGTGCTCCATGCATTTCTCACAAAATTATGTAAAATTAGCACATTTAAATCTACATAATGCTGTCAAGGCATATTTCTATTAAGCTTAATCTAAGGAGATAGAATAATGCCAAGTGATTGCTATGATGAAATTCTGGTCTCATTTTGAGGGCACAGAGTATTACTAGAATCATTAAGGTATATTAACTAATACTTTCTGCCCATAAATTTATTAGTTTTGGACACTACATTCTTTTATTCCTCTCCACCCCTACTGCCTTTCTTCATGATTTGTATAGCATATACCCTAGTTACTTTCCTAGAAATGTCACCCAACCAGCTCATGCTAGCACATTTAAATTTACTTTTCTGAATCGTGGTGCCAGGAAAACAATTTAATTTCAATAAAACTCAGAACATTATGCAGATATTCATATATGTGAGTATTTAAAAAGCAAAATGGATTGCCATTTAATACAATTTCAAGGCTGAACTGCGAAAGGTTCTCATGCATCATTTAGTGATACAATCCTTTTATTTTTTCAGAATAACTACTAAATTTAAATTTTTTGGTTAGGTGTCATTATACTGACAGAAAAGTCATGTTGACTTTCAACTATTAATTTCCTAAAAGAAAATAATCATTCTATGAGGAAATGATTTATGATTTAATTTTGTCTATTAGTAAACTTTGAATTTTCTTTACAGAAATAGAGATACTAAAGAAAAGTTTGACAGTGTCCCAGAGAAATAAGACATGCCTTGAAGAGGAAATGAAAAATCTGAAATTGTTGTCAGATGCAGCCATACTGAGGTCTCAGCAGATTCAGGCATCCAAACAACAGGAAGTAAACTTGCAAACCAGATGCCATGACTTGCAAAAAGAAGTAGTAGGTAAAAGAAAATTATTTTTTGCTGTTGTTAGCAACTAGCCATAATAAGAAATGTCTAAATCTTTATTTCTCTTATAAAAAGTCTTGTTTTAATTATTTTATGTTGCAAATATGCCTAATTACTAGTAACTACGTCAATAACTGTGCCTGTGATCAGTGTTTACCATCTTCCTTCCCGTTCTGCTAATTAGAGTGATGAGACTTAAGTGAATATACTCCTTAATTTTTCCCAAATGAAAATATTAAAAATTGTGTTTTGGGCACCTTGGGCAAAGTTTTAAATTTCTACCTCAGAGGAATAAGTGTCTTGGCACTAAGGCTATGTAATTTGCACTTTTCCCTAAAGGCAGTAGGAATCGTTGAAAGTTGGTAGTCAGGAGAATGATATAATATAAGCCGTGTTTTAGCAAAATTAAGCTATTAGCAGTGATTGGAGGTATTCCAGACATCAAGCAATTGGAGCTGGGTAGCCATTTAGAAAATATCTGTGCTGTAACCCAGGCCTAGACTAACCGTAAGAAGCTGAAGTAGATGGGAACTAACATTTTTAGGTCCTAATGTGCACTGTATATAAATTGCTTTTGTCAATTCCTACAGTGACTATGAAAAACAGGTATAATTTTCCCATCTTGCAGAGGAGAGGATCAAGGCCTAGAACGGTAACATGCCTGTTTTCACATAGCTGATAAATGGCAGGGAGTGAACGCAGACCTAGTCAGATTCCAAGGCTCAAGCTTGTCCCAATGTCTCCTTGGTCCTCTCCATCGCCACGATGGGAAAACTAAGATAGAACCAAGATTGAGCAGACTACCCAGGACGAGGGGGGTGAACACCCGACTGAGTAGACGGGGCAAAGGAAGTCACAAGCGCTCTGAACCTCTTTTCTTGGGAATATTTAATAATGGGAACATTTTGTAGACTAGGAAATCTGGAAAGGAACTGATGTTAGGATGGAAAATAAGGACTCGTTACATAAACTGGGAGCAGATATCAGATATTTTAATTTTCCCTTCTATGGATTGCCTATTTATAGATTTTGCCAATTTTCTATTGCATTATTGGAATTTTCCTTGATAATTCTTAAGAGCAGTTTGTATAGTGTAGTAATTATAATCTATATTTAATTTTTTATTTAATTTTTTTCTAATGTATAATTTTTTATTAACTTTTTATGGTAAATTTCACCATATCGAAGTTTTTCATTTTGGACAAATCACTGCCTTTAATTGTTTCTGATGAGTTTTGGTTAAAATAGTGCCTCGCATTCTTAAATTATACAGACAGTCTCCTGAGTTTTCCTACATTTAAGTCATTAATACAGGTAACATTTATTTTTTATATGGTGTGAGATATGAGGGTTTAGTTTTATTCTTTCCAAATGGATAACCGGTTCTATCAGTATTATATATTAAATAATCCATCCTTTCCACTGAATAGAGCTATCATCTGTCATATGTTGAAATTTTATACATGCTAGCATTGATTAGTATGTTCTCTCTTCTGTTCAACTAATTTATTTAATATACCACTAACACATATTCATTTGATTATGATGACTTACTAGCATAGTCTCATAGCTGGTAAGTCTTTTCTGTCTCTACTGTTTTTCTTAAATATATATTTGGAGGAGTTATGCTTTGATTTGAACTTTGTAAGATCCTTGGTTTACTTCCAATCCAAAGACTCTAATAGATACCTAGTAAAATTCTTCTCATCCAGTCTTTATACTTTTCTTACATATTCACAAGCAGTTATTCTTCCATATAAACATTAAGGTACTTACATTTAATTCTAATCCCAAGAGGGATTCTAGCTAGAATTGCATTATATTTATATACTAAGTTTTGAGGGATTGACAGTTTAGTGATACTAAGTCTTCTTAATATTATAAAATCTTCTCATTCAAGAATATAATATGTCCTTACATTTCTTTAAATATTTTTATGTTTTTAAATATATTTTCAGTTTTAGTTGAATGTTTCTTTGTCATTCTTATTAAATTTATGACTATTGCATTTTTGCATCTACTATAAATGGATCATTTTCTCTATTTCAGCTTCTTGATATTTGTTCTTTTATTTCTTTGGTGCAAAAAGATGCTTTTATTATAGTAGAGGAACAAGACCATGGGCAGAAAGAGCTGCACTGGGATTGTGAGGAGTAACTGCTTTTATACCTTTTAGTTAGTAGGAATTAGGGATAAAGTCTCTAAGGAATTCATGCATGTAAAAGCAAGGTCTCTAGGATCTTGGAGGGCTAGCTAATGTTAAGATAAGGTTGCTTTTAGTCTTCAGTGAAACATCAACAGTAAGGCCGCAGTGAGTTCCTTGAGGGTTACACTCTGCTTGTCTCAGAGATTTATCAGTGAGCTGCAAGTTGTAAGGAGACAATTATTTTAGCTGCATTTCTCTTGCCTTTGTTCTCGTCATTTACCTCCTGAACAATTTTGACCCTTAAATTTTTAAGATTGCTGAGGGTGGAAGATTTTATCTTCTGTAACTTTGTCTTGCTGAATAGGGATGTAGAGATGTCCCCACCCATGGGTCAACATTAGTCAGTTGGGAATGTAGGAGTTATGAACAGAGGCAGAGGCAGCTGAATCCAAGGTAGACAACCTATATAAATCTCCTTGAGTAGAAAGGATCATCTGTCAGTTTGAAGTCATGGCATGAAGGAATCTTGGCACCAGGTGGAGAGACATTGGAAAAAACAGCAAAACATGATTAAAATTATTATGAGAAAAAGAAGCCCAGTAAAGAGACCTTTGATAGCTGACCAAAATCCTCCTCCGGTCTGGGAATTTAACCAATTATTAAAGGAGAGAGAAGGATTGTTTATTTTTTTAAAATATTTTATTTATTCATAAGAGACAGAGAGAGGCAGAGACATAGGCAGAAGGAGAAGCAGGCTTCCTGCGGGGACCCCGATGCGGGACTCAATCCTAGGAGCCTGGGGTCACTACTGAGCCAGAGGCAGATGCTCAACCACTGAGCCACCCAGATGCCCTGAGAGGGATTGTTTAAAATGCCAATTTGAATATTTATATCTTTTAATAATCCTGTTAGATTTTTGTGATAATCTGGAATATATACATAGCATTCTGTTTTTATGATGGCACGTGTTCACCCTGTACAGCGGTTAAAATATCTAATACTATTTTATTTTGTAGAACTGCTTTATGAATGAGTTATTTCAGTGTTTAATAATGTAATGCTATTTTGAGAGTCACTGAAGGCCTTAATTGTGTAGCAAGTGATGTTAGCCATCATATAGACTATTTCACTTAGAAAGCAATCAGGTAATTAATAAGAGGCACTTTTATGGAAACAAAAGATAAATATAGGTTAATGCTTGGAACAAATAACAAACCCAGTGTCTGAGTCTCCAGTACTACCAGTAAGATTTTTAGGTGTTAGGTTTGAAGCATTCTCAGATAGAGTGGGAGCAGGCAGTGGGAATCAGATGAATTTTTCTGGTTTGTAATTTAAATGTCTCTGATGATCCTTTTGAATGGCCCATAGTGCAACAAGCACAAAGATTGTCTATATATGAGTTTTGTGGCAATTTCTTTGAAGCTACCCTCAAGTTGTCCATCATCATCAGTTTTTAGGGCTTTAGGAAAGAGAGCAATTTTAAGTAGGAAAATGGAAGAAGATTGGAAATCTTGGTATTTGTTGATAGAATAAACAAAGGCTATTTTTTTGTGTATTTATCTTATATCCATCAACTTTATAAAATCCTCATATTCTAGTGTTTTTACTAGTCTCTCTTGGATTTTCTTTTTTTCTTTTTAGGATTTTAATTATTGGGGGGGGGTACACAAGTAGGTAGAGCGACAGACAGAGGGAGAGGGAGAACAGGCACCCTACTGAACAGAGAGGCTGACAGGGGCTCAATCCCAAGACCCTGGGATCATGGCCTAATCTGAAGGCAGATGCTCAACCAACTGAGCCACCCAGGTGCACCTCTCTTGGATTTTCTAATTCTACAATTATGTTGCCTGCCCCAACACCCCTGAAAAAGAGTTCATCTGTTTTTTCCAGTGTTTATATCTGTTATTTTCTTATCTTGTTCATATCTTTTTAAATTCATTTAAACCCCTGAGACTGTGTTAAATAATAATGATGACATTGAGCATCCATATCTACTTCCTGATTTTAATTGAAATTATTTGGTATTTTTCCACTTGGAATTATATATGATGTTTTTGGTAGACATTTATTTTTAATGAACTATTTTGCTTCTATTCCAATTTTACTTATATGTTTCATATGAAATGCTTTTGAATTTTGTTAAATGCCTTTAAGCATCTATTGATATAATAGTATTTTTTCCCCTTTAACTAACTGGTAAAATGGATTAGTATTATTGAATTTCCTGATATTGAAACATCTTTAGTTTTATGGAATAAACCCTACATCATTTAACTTTTTAAATATATAATTTGCTACATGGTTATATTTTATTTATAAATTTGGTACATGTATACTACTAAGTGAGATTGGCTTATAAATTTTTTGTTATTGGGGAAACTAATTTTATCAGAGTTTCGCATTAAAATTAACTAAATATCATAAATACTCTTTTTAAAAAAGATTTTATTTATTTATTCATGAGAGACACAGAGAGAGAGAGAGAGAGAAAAAGAGGCAGAGACACAGGCAGAGGGAGAATCAGGCTCCATGCAGGGAGCCTGCTGCGGAACTTGATTCTGGGACCCCGGATCACGCCCTGGGCTGAAGGCAGGCACTAAACCACTGAGCCTGGCAGAGGGAGCCCCAAAATTCTTATTTTCACATATTTCCTCTATCTATGACTAGGCCTGATTTCTGGTGTTTAATCTTGTGTGCTTTTGTTTTGTCTTTTATTATTTATCAAGCTTGCAAAACCTTTGTTTTTTAGTCTTTTCAAACAACTAGCCTTTGTATTTTTTTAAAAGATTTTATTTATTTATTCATGAGAGACAGAGAGAGAAAGAGAGAGAGAGAGGCAGAGACACAG